CTGTCTGTCTCTCTTTATCTGTCTGTACCTGTCTGTGTCTATCTTGTCTATCTATATCTATCTGAGTCTATCTATAACAATCTATATCAATATCTGTTATCAATTTACTATCTTTCTCTATCTATCCCTTTCCGTCTATCTATATCTCTTTATCTCTCTATCCCTCCCTCTCTTTCTGTCTCTATCTATCTATCTTCTATTTGTACCAAATTGCGTCAAAAAAATATCTATATATATGGATCTATCTATCTGTGGGTGCGTCTTTATATTAATAAGCGTAGTCAAGCAAGTAAGTTCAGCCGGCCACGGCGCAAGCAAGCGCAAAGAAGAACGTACGTAAAAATGAAATAACTCCACCACATCTAATCAATTAATAAATAATATCAAATATAAATAAACAAATAGATAGAATCAAAAAAAGATAAGTAAATAAAAAGACACAAATAAATTTCTTAATATAAATTTTCAAAATGACAAAATTTCAATTAATCGAATAAAATTAGAAAATCAAGAAATGCGAAATTATAATATATTTCGATTATATTTAGATTTATCTATTCGAATATATTTTCTAGTAATAAATTTTAGTCTTCATAATTTCGTATTTTCATAAAATAAAATAATCTGTAATAAATTATATTTATACCTATAGAAGTTATTAATAATAATATTAATTAATCTCTTTTATTTTTTCAAAATAAGTCTAGGTTATCATCTAAAATTCTATTTTAAAATCTTTAATTTCTTATTTTTATAGAAATTTATTATGAAATTTAAAAAATATAAAAAATTCTGTCTTATAGAAAAATAAATATTTAAAAATTAAGAAATCGAGGCCCTCCCTTATGAATCCAATCTTAACCGGACTTGTCATTATTTCGTGACAAATTTCAAAAATTCAAGTTTCGGATCTCGTTTTTAAATTAATTTGATTAATTTTATAATTCAATATATCGGTATAAAAAATGAACGTATCTGTATCGAGTTCCATAAAGGAAGTTTCCGTAGGCATCTTACAAGTTGTCCCGTTGACATGTTCAAGCTCTGCATCTGGCATCCTGAGCAAGCAGCAAGCTCGCTGAGCACAAGCCACAAATTGCATTTGTCACGGCCATGCTTCCGGCCTTCGCGCAGCGATTTTCCATACGACGACACATGGAGCAGGATTTCGCGTCGCACACGTACCTGGCGTCATCTCTGCACCGTGCCTTCCCAAGTAATTATGACGGCGAGAATCATTCAGCTCTGGCGATTCTAGCGCAGGATCATGGGTGAAATTTCAAAGCAGGAATGCATTTGTATTATTTGCCCCTGTTAGGGCAGTCATGATAAGCTTCTTCCTGTGGACTGCTTGTGTCAGGCTGTCAAGCTGCTGGGACTCACAGCCCAGGCGTACGTTCAACCATACTTACCTTCTGTGAAGTTCTGCAAGCAAATCTGCGACTTTTCCTTTGTGTCCGTTCCGTGGCCGTTCAAATCTTGAGCTGTGTGATGCTGGTTGGCACTTCGACCGCGAACATCTGCGACCGTGGAACCTCGCATTGCACAGCTTCTCTGGCATACCAGGATCACACTCCTGAAGGCAGTACAAGTCCAATTCCCCCAAGACTTCACACAAGTCTTTCTCCGGGTCCTCCACCGACGTGCCATTGCCTAGGCTCAGGGTGGACGGTTTCGCACTTTTTTTCCTGGCCCTGCGAGCTCCTTTTCTCGTCGAAGGATCATCTTTCAGTTACAGTTACATAACAGTACCTTGTTCGGCCTGTGCCTTTCAACCGCCCAACCGGTTGCACCCTGAAGTCGGGACACAAAGTTGCAGTGGCAGCTCGAAGTCGGCATCTGGCTGCACCGCAACGGATCGAACAAGACGGCTGCGCCCTTCCTGCCAAGCCAGGAGACACGTCACAGCAGCCTTGCATCCTCCAATCCATGAACCATCTAGACATCGGGGAGGCGATACATGTGCATGAGCAGGAATGAAGCTGTCCTGGTCAGTGGCAATAGAAGAACCGCAAACGCAAAGACGTTGAGAAGCCAGCAGAAACCTAACAAAGCCGTTCAGCAAATCTCAATGTGCCGGGCATCGCCATAACTGGATGAGACTCTCTTCAGGATTATCTGAGTCAACTCGTCAGCAGAAACATGCACTATTGAGACAGCGCATCGCACACCCATAGTATTGAGCAGCTGCCCTGGTGAAGTGCTAGTTCGCTAAGATCCAGAAGCCAGGATGCCATAGTATCTGGCAGCGCTGCAGCAAGGGCCGCGCCATCGTGGAAGGCTTCACAAGCAACTCATCCTGCTGGAAGCCGAGATTGCAGTACGGAAGTCATCGTGCTCGCACTTCTGCGAGACTGTGCCTACGTGCCTGTCACGATTCTGAACCGATCAATCATGATAGTAATAGTATATGATAGTCATGGAGAGGTGGTGGACTGTCATCACCTGGCAGTGCCTATGGAGATCTTTCAAGGTATATTATCGTTGGATGCTTGTTATGTACAACGAGTCCTTTTCACATGTCTCCCTCGCAGCTCATCAGGCGATACCGGTTAACCCTTCTTTGGGGCATGTGCGTCGGAGCAAAAAGCACCTCCGAACAGTCTTGGCCACTCTACATACCTTGACATGCAGAACATAAAACACTCTGCCGATAGTGGAAACACTGTATAGCGGTTTTAGACAGACTCTGTCACGGGCAGAACCGTAAGGAATGGAAACCGGATGGTCTATACGACTCGGAAGCTTGGCAGTTTAACAAGCCCGCTTCGTAAAAGGATGTGCATGGATGGAGCTCCCACGTCAAGGCATCTCTCTTCGCCCGACACAGCGCGCTGCTGATGCTGATCTCTGCATGCCCGGCGCAGCGTCAAACGTTATCGAAAGTATAGCTGTCTCTACTGTGCTTTGAAAAATGGGAGGCTGGCGTTGGCCCGCTCTTCACTGACCATCAAAAGGCGCAGAAACAGGGATGTCTTCAAGGTCTCAGGGAGCTCCAGAGCTCCTCAAGGCCCAGGCCTCTCCTCAGATGGACAAGGCGACAAGAGAGGGGCCAGCAATTCCCGGATTTCCCGGGAAACTCAGGAGCTCGCAGGTTCCAGCCACTTGATCAGGACCTCCCCATCTTCGTCACAGAAAGAGCCAGGGGAAAAGGCACCCCAGCCTCGCGGGCCCGGCTCACCTCCACGAATCGCTCGTGCCTGCCGTACGAGGCATTAGGGGTCCGGTTTGGCTCTTGAGGGAGTTGAGAGCCCCCGAAACCTCACAAGGACACAGCTTACAGCCAACTCTTGTCAATGGGATCTTCAGGAGGAACACTAGGACCTAGGAGGGTACACAACCCAATGATATCTTAGTGCATCCTTAGTGTCCCCAGTGCTCCTCTCGGTTCCCGTAAGGCTCGCTAAGGATCCCTAGTACCCTCCGCCCCGTGAACTGAACCACCCCTAAGGATCCTATGACTTTGGGTTGTAACACTCTAGTGCAGTGTGGAAAGCTTCGTCTCCCCTCTTTTCTGAAACAAGTCGGGCAGGCGCGTCCGGATCAGGAGACTTGTCAGGGTGCAGCCTGTCCAGAGAGGCGACTAGATCTTCTGCGCCAGTGTCTTCTCCACAAGCTCAGTTCAAGCATCTAAGTCTCTCGTTCCATCAACTTTCTACGGTCTCTTGCCGGGCTTCCCTGAAGCTCTCAGCACGAACAGCTGTCTACCATAGGAAGCTATTGCGAGTCCACCGAACCAGGACAGCTGAATCGGAAACCAGTGGTGTGATTTGGAAACAGAACGGCTGATTTAGAAACAGATCGGTGGTTCGGAAACCAAAGACGGTGCTGGTCTCGCTCTGAGTGTCAGGTTTGAAGCTTTAGGTATTTTTTTAGGCGAGGTTTTCGGGGTTTAAAGCTTAAGGTTTCCGTGTTTTGGGGTGTGTGGGAGTGGCTTCGCCGGTTGTGGGAAACCTGCCAGCAGGTAAAGGAAGGTCCTTGTTTCAGGTTGAGTCGATCAAATACGACAACGAAGCTTGCCATTACGAGTACAAAAGGTTCGGGCATGGATGCTCTTAGACATGGGTGCACTGGTAGCATGGACGTTTGTCATCGGTGTCCGATGCACGGCGGTTTCGGATGCGCACATTCCGATGAGTGCCGGTTTCAGATGGGCGCCAGTTGCCGATGCTTGCCGTCTCTGTCTGATGCGCAGTTTCTGATTCAGGGGCTGGTTAGGTTGCTGATTTTTGTCAGTTGTTCACCTATTGCATGTGCAACCATGCTAATCGCTTGCAAAGAAACTGCACTACACATGTTACATTGGGCCCAAGGGGCGGTGCGCACTTCTTGCGATAGTAGGAGTCCACCTGTGGCAATTTCCGAAGACGTCAAGAGTCATCAGTGCGACCGGTGACCAGGAGCCTCCTTCCGGTCCTTCGGAACGTACCCTTCAGGAAAGCCCAGCCTCTCAGCAGCGAGTTGCTGCTGGCGCAAACCCCTTTGATCAGACGTCTTCCCGATGACTGCACACGCGTGTCCGGTGGCTCAGCCGAGGTGTCTACCTGCGCCTTACACAACCTCTGAGCTAATGGGATGCTAGATGCTTATACCACGCTAAGGAAGGCGCAAGAACGCAGCTTCTTCTGCATTGAGCGAGAGCTTCCTGAATGACAGGCTGTGACCCGCAGACTTAGGAATTGGCAAGCAGGAATTTTCCAGTCAGAGTGGCAGTGCAGTCTGAAGCACACCATGAGAATGCACACGCACACACACACACACATACACACACCGAGCCAGCAGCTTCGTAAGTTCGAATCAAGCTGCCCTCGCTTCGCGTTGAACACTGCAATGCGCTCACCGTACTCCTGCGAAGCAGGCATGCCGGGGGTAGTGCGGTGATATGTCTGCCATTGTCTGCCACATCGCATGGTCTATGTTTTTGGTCGTCCGCCTTATTTGTGAGTTTGTCTCAACTACGAAGTGTTGGCGTGAACACAAGTGCCCACCTAACGGAGCGACTATTGGAACTTAAAGCTGCAGCAGGCCTTTGTGTAGTCTTTGACCCACTCCTGCGAACCATCGATTCCATACCTGTCGCGAAGCAGAGTGCGTGGGCCCGACGCTTTCTACTAGTTACTAGTCAGCCGAGAGTTTGAGACTCTGAATGTGTTCGAAACGTCGGCTAGAGATTTCCACTCAGATGCGAACAGATCACACATCGAAGCAGCGAAGGCATGTTGATCAGGTTCTTGCCTTTTGCAGAATCCGTTTCGAACTCCATGCTCGTCATACCTGGGACAAGCTGAGGGCTCAAAAGCGTAGCTAGCTGCGGAAAACGCAATTCTCGCATGCTGACTCTTGGTGCCACGCACAATTTCGGACTTGATTTGCCCCCCTTCATAGTACTCCCTCCAGTGCCCAGCCTGTCATGTCAGGGCTGCAGGAGCTCCGTGTCCCGACTTCACGCTCTTTCCGAGTCAAAGGTCAATGGGCTCGGCGCAGAAGCTGCGGGCAGGCAACTTCGATCACATCCGTGCGGACACTGTAGGTGTTGACACCTCGAAAACATGCAGGGCAAAGCCTTTCTGGCTTGCATCGTCCGCTCGTCCTCCACAAAGAACCTAGGATGGGTTTTGCCGCCCGAACATGAGAGGTCGCTGTCGCAGGCTGCTCGACTAGCCAAGCAGCAGCTTTTCTGACTTCATCCGCTGATTTGGGTAGAAGTGCTTGCGGCTCAGGAAAGGCTGGCAGGTGGCAGGTTGAGATACACGAGCGACAGCAGATCACAGCACGATATTCCAGACAACATCCGTTGACTTTCTGGCATGCATGTTCCCTGCCATCTTCCACTAAACACACGTAAGCCGTTCCTATGCATCGCCTGTCCCAGAGCAAAGTGCACATCGAGACGGCATACACCTGTCATTGTACCAAAAAATTTGAAGCTTCGGTTGCCACTGATGCGGTCATGACAGGCGGAGGCTACAGTGCAAACATCAATGACTTCATGAGTCGGCTGTATATGCAGGACTTGCTGCCACACATGTAACACATGCTTGCGTAAATGTGGGCACCGTGCAACTCCAGTCGCTCTACAGGTCACTTGTGCACTGTGCAAGCCACGCACATACCCTGTCCCTTTCCACCTTGCACATGCAGCGGCCTAGTTACAGCAACTGCAAGCACGCAGTCGAGAGCACCGTCCACGTCGAAGTGCTTCTCTTCAACCACCCTCTCACATGCCCGCCTTGGCGAATCCGCTCAACCCCAGGTTGACGTGTGAGCAATGGTTTGTAGTTTGTAGCATGGAAACAATAATACTTGCTGCGGGATTGTGCCAGCGTAATACTGGAAGAGCACCACGACGACCATCACGATCACTGGGACCAGCATAACGACCAAGGCGACCGAGACCACCAGGAGACAGACAACCAGGAGACACCCAAGAAAACACCTGAGAATACAAGGACCAGGACACTCCAGCAGATCACCAAGAAACCAGCAGGAGACACCCGAGGACCGGAAGCTGCCTGAGTGTATCATTGGTAAATAGTTGGCGGCGGGCGCATAGGGCGCCGTGCTACTTTCCTGCATACTTCGGATGATTCTAACGGGTTCGGGTGGGGGCGGGGGTGGGGATAAAGACGTCGGTTCTAACGGCAACCATGCCCAAACTAGTGGTATTTGCAGCCCTTTGCCACTGGGCGAAAAAATGTTGCAAAGGATTTGTGACGTTTCTGGAACCAGACGCGCTGTCACAAGTGCTCATGCCTTGTGCGTGCATGCCCAAAACATGGGTAAGTGCTGCATCCTCGCCACTTTATACTGTACAACATGCCGCAGCAGGATGTTTGACACTCCTGGAACAAGACACAGCGTCAAAAGCGTGCATGCCTTGTGCCGCCAATGCACAAGGGTATGGTGATGGCAGAGAAGATGATGACGATGATGATCACCACACCAATGATGATAGCAACCCTCTTGGGAAACTTGAATCGAATCCGTGATTCGCAACAAACCGGCTTTTCTCGAAATCGGGCATAGGTTTCGTAGCACTTTTAGGTATGGAAAGTAACATGGCGCCCTCTTGGTCAGCAAGTACTTTCCAAAGCCTCGTTGTTGCAACGATTCCAACAGTGAATGTAAATCGTGCTTGCTGCAAATCAGTCATGGCGGGACAGCTGTTCAAACGAACTGGGCCGAAACTCTTTGGCCTCATGCATCGGATGTTATTTGGCTTGTGTCGTCCAACCTCTGAGCATGGAGGTGGTTTGCACTGCTGCTAAAACACGCACTTTCCCGACTGCTGGCCTACGAACGATCTTGAAAAGTCAGCATGCAGCAGAGCTCCCTGCTGTGTTACCGTCGGAGGGAGTCGTAGGTAAGTTTGAAAGTACCTAGAGCAGGATCGGAAGAAGCTCTGACTGTGACAGCCTTATATACGGCTTCGCTTACGAGACTGCGACTAAATCTGGGTTTCTCGGAAGGTTCGAGCACTTGAGGTTGCCATTGTCGTGATAGTACTTCTCCTCGGCGCGGTGATTATCAGCACGGCGATTTCCACCAAAAGCATGGCAAAAGAGATCTCTCAGGGAATGAACTTGCTGTTGGGATGCTGTGTACAACTTGCCGTCAAGCTCATCAGCATCAGACTCATCCTGGAGGTGTCTTCACATGAATCTAGCCCAAAACGCAGTCGATATAGACGCTCTCAGCACTTTCCATCCAAGCCGTATGCGCATGCAACGGCAGATGTTACGTGTGTACATATACATATATATATATATTGAACATGCAAGCGCTGTTTGTTTTCTATATGTTCATGATTGCACTCATGGACAGGTGAACCTGTGTACAGCGATATTCAGGAGGATGTGTTCGTATGTACATATGCATATAGTGGCATGCATCAATACTGACATTGCACGCATGCTCTCTGTCATAATTTTATTCCTTATCTTGAATTCTTTTTCTGTGCGTGTCACTACCGTTGTGGCTTGTACAAGGCAGAACCCACACTCCTCCTCGCTGAGATAGCCTTGCGCCAATGCTACCTGGCCGGTTTGCAACTTCCAACTAGGAGTTCAGTCTCTCTGATGCTGTGCTGTTGTTCACGGGGAATTCACCTCTGCCTTCAATGATCTGCTGCTGAAGCTGTAGTCCCCAAAACACAGTCCGAAGGCATTAAATACGAGGGCAACGATCCACAGAGTAACCCGACGGTTCTTCATTTGTGTGTGTGTGCGTGTGCAACCCCTTCCCCCTAATATCCGCCGAGGCCACAGGCCTCCTCCCAAAATAATTACTGACATGCGTTTGTTGGGAACATTTTCGACCTCCCACCCCGGCTGGCCCCTCCTTGACCTGTCTTGTCCCTTCGTTCCAGGTTATTTTGGCCAACTTCCAAACAGTTTTCATCGCTTTACCCCACCTCCCCTCCCCGCCAGCCCCTCCCCCCCGCCCCGCCCCCGCTCCCTGCCTGCCGTCCCCCCCTTCCTCTTCCCCCTCTTGCGGCAACACAGGCGGTTGAAGATTTGGTTAGATGGTTCAGTGCCCGGGAGGGGCTGCTGCACTGTCGAGCCGAGGCGGGCTGCGTAGCGTTAGAATTAGAAGACCGCCCTAGAATTAAAATTGATTCCCGGGGGTTTTGGTTTTTGTATTAGGCGGGGTTTCGGTGCATTCAAGTTGACAGTCTTGAGCCCTAAGCCCTGAGCCCTAAACCCTAAAGCCCTAAACCTTGAGCCCTAAAGCCCTAAGCCCGAAACCTGAAGCCCCAAAACCTAGAGCCCTAAATTTAGAAGGCTTACGCCTAAGTGCGCCAGCGCAGTTTTGGTTTGCAGCGGAGTGGAGGGCAGCGCAGGGCAGGGCTGGGCAAGGCAGGGCAGGGCAGAGCAGTGCAGGATGGGCAGGGCATGGCACAGGGCAGGGCAGGGCCAGCGGGGCAGGGCAGGGCAGGGCAG